CTGCGGCTTTCCCTGCCGTTCTCCGCTGCTGCTGCTGCTGCTGCGACTATCTTGGCTATTGCTGTTGCTGCTGCTGCTGCCGCTGCTGCCTTACTAAACAGCACAAAATCCTTGCGCACTGGAGGTGGGTCGTCTGCCTACGCACCGAAAGCTCCATTTGCTGCACTTCTGCTGCTGCTGCTGCTGCAGGCGGGAGGCGCTTGTGTCTGCTGCGGAGGGCCCTGAGTTTGTGTCTGCTGTTGACGAGACGCAAACTGTTTGGATTTCAAACATTGACTCTTCTGTGTCAGAGCAGCAGCTGCAGCAGCTCATCAACAGCCTCACGCAAGGGCTCACCCAGGCACGCCCTGCTGCTGCTGCTGCTGCTGCTGCTGCTGCTTTGGCCGCTGCTGCTGCTGTTGCTCTGGCCGCTGCTGCTGCTGCTCTGGCTGCTGGTAGTGCCTTTGCCCTGGTTGCTGGTGGTGTTGCTACTGAGGCTGCTGCTGCTTCTGCTTTGGCTGCTGCTGCTGCTGCTGGATTTTCCGGTGCTGCTGCTGCTGCATTTCCTGCTGCTGCTGCTGCTGCTGCTTCATGCAAATGGGCGTCATGTGTGTGCGTCTCAGCTGCGGCTTGTGCGGGACTTCCGGGGGATTTCGAAGGGCTTTGCGTACGCGGACTTCGGGTCTGCTGCTGCTGCTGCTGCTGCTGCTGCTGCGCTGCACGGGCAGCAGCTAAACGAGCGCCCCCTGAAGGCGCTGCGCTCGCAGCCAACTAAAAGGGTTTATGAAGACAAAACCCTTTTTATTAGCTGCCTCCCCAAAAGAGGCCTCACAGAAGCAGCAGCTAAAGATTTGCTGCTGCACTCCCTCGGCTTCCGCGGAGTTGCTGCTGTCCGCCTCGTCAGGGGCCCTGACAGCAGCGACGAAAACAAGGGGTCTGCCTGCTGCTGCTGCTGCTGCTGCTCTGCTGCTGCGCGTGATGGTGATGATCTTCTGTGTGCTGCCGCCGCTGCTTTGCTTGTTTTGGCTGCTGCTGCTGCTGCTGCTGCTGCACTTGTGGCTGTTGCTTGCGCAGCTTTGCTTGCCGTGGCTGGTGCTGCTGCTTCGAATACCAGTGCAGCAGCGGCTTTTCTTCCTGCTGCAGCTACTAGGGAACGAAGCAGCATGTGCCTCCTCGCGGCAGCAGCAGCAGCAGCAGCAGCAGCTTTGCTGCTGTGTGGGGGTGTCTCTGCAGGTACGGCTACGTGGACTTCGAATCTCATGAGGCAGCAGTTGCTGCCTTGCGACGTTTCCATCAAGCGCAGCAGCAGCAGCAGCAGCAGCAGCAGCAGGACCACGAGCAGCCTGGTGAGATG